ATCAAAATGTACTGCTGCCATCTTAAGAGAACATTTCATTTCATTGTAGTTCATTCATCTTCTATTTTATGAACCTTTAAACCTCTTTTAGATTAGAAATACCTAGTTGTTCTGCCAAATGTATCGTAATAAAAACTTTTTCTACATTTTTCAACCAAAATAGATGGGCATGGACTACAGCTGTAAGATAAGCAAAAAGCTAAAAAGGCAAAAAGGGAAGAAATAACTGAGATTTTGAAATGTGCTTCAGTGTCTGCGCCCAGTGGTTCACAAAGTTTGGCTCAGGATCCAATCATAAGTTATAAAACATCGATTGTTTCCACCAAAATTTAAATTTAAAAACATTTGTCTATTTTATTTTTCTTTGGCTTAATTGTTACGCGAGATAAAACCGTATTAGTCAATAAAAGTGGTATATTAATAGTTTTTGTCATTATAATCCTTGTTTAACTTACCTAATTGTAATGTATGCATAGTTTAATCAATCCAACGTTTTTCAGTCAGGTCATAAAAACGTTGGATTGTATACCTGGATTATTGAGCATGGACTTTGTTGTTTTCAACCAGTTTGACATGACTGTCAACAAGGAAGAGGGCCGGCAATGGAGGAGGGGACGTACCAAAAAGACCATCTTAGCACCAACAAAACTGGTTTGTTCCACTTTGGAGTAAGCTGTTGGAGAAAGAATCAGTTTTGTTGTGTGTTTTCTTGACTGATGAAGCCTTCCGGATCGAAAGCGAAACGTTTCAGCACACAAAAAAAAGAAACTGTCCAGATGACCTGACTGAAAAACGTTGGATTGTATACCTGGATTATTGAGCATGGACTTTGTTGATCTACAAGCTTCTGGTTTCTGTGAAAAAGCTGCTGCTTCTTTCTGCACTTGAAATAACTTGTGAAGCTGACAGCAATGGAAAGGTTTCTTCACATGAACTGCAATGACACTGTTGACGTCAGAGCTGTTTTGAGGCAGTCGTAATGTATTTTGGTCTTTTGCTGCATTCCATGTACCTTGGAGGTTGCAACTCGGGTTTGGGAATGACGTCAGGCTTGGCTTTACCGTCTCCCAGTGCTTGTGCTCAGTGACCAGGCTAACCACTGTTAGCAACACACGCCAATAATTATTTTACTGTCCAGAAGTAATCTTGAAACAATACTAGATGCATTCATAACATCCAGGCTCAATTACTGCAATGCACTTCTTTTTGGAATCAGTCAGACCTCCTTTGCTCATTTGCAACTGGTTCAAAATGTTGCAGCATGATTTTTAACTGGTACAGGCAAAAGAGAGCACATTTCTCCAGTTTTGGCCTCTCTTCACTGGCTCCCAGTTAGAGCTGCCATTTCTAACCCAAACCCAGAGCCCGGCCCCGCCTGACTTGGATTTGGACCGGGTAAGGCCATAATAATGTGCTTAAAGTGTGGGCCGGGTCAATGTCGGGCTTTTTATTGCGTCAGGGATGCGCACAGCCGACGATTGAATATATGCAAACATGGTTGCCATACTACACCTGCTGCACGCGGCCATTTGACCGCATGCTGACCGGCTGGTTGAAAGAGGTAAAAAGTTCAGTTAAGCTTCAGATGGACTATTGCCAGCGATCCATCAGCCCAAAGGGACGTTCATTCAGCCGCTGCACTCAGTGGACGCGCACGGACGACAACCCAAACAGGTGAGATCACAAAATATCAGATGTCAATGTCTGAGCAGGCAGAAGTAGGGGAAGCATTTAGTGCACTTTGAAGGCTCCTCAGCTCCGATCTTCTGTCCCCTTTACTCAGCCACATATCCGGCGACCATTAATAATAGTTAGTGGTATAAGCAGTCAAAGCTTAATTAAAAAAGTCTTGTTTTTTTTTCGGGTTCGGACCTGTAATTACTGTTAATTCGTCGGATCGGGTGAGGTTCGGAGATGATGGCTGCGGGCTGGGGCCGAGTCAGTTCGGATTATTTGGACCCGAGTGCAACTCTACTCCCAGTTCACTTTCAAATTCATTTAAAAATCTTTCTGTATGTTTTAAAATCTCTGAACAGTTCTGCCCCCTCCTGTCTCACTGATCTGCTGCAGCCATATGTCCCATGGCGCTCTCTGAGGTCAGCAGACCAGATGCTTTTGTTGGTTCCAGGCACTCGTTTTAAGCTCAGAGGTGAAACTGCTGCACATCCAAGACTGCAACGAGTTCCCATTGCATGTCAGGCAGGCTCCCTCTTTCACTGTCTTTAAGTCTTGTGTAAAAGATCACTTGTATTTCCTGGCTTTTTACACTGTGTGAGTTGATTCTGAGTTGATTTGATTGACTGAGCATTATTGGATTTGGTACCTGGATGATTGAGCATGAACTTTGATGCCTTGAACCACTTTGGCTGCGGCTGCCTGCCTGGGAGGAGTCGACGGGGGGACAGGACAGCCCCCAGAAACCATCTTATCTCCAGCAAACTGGTTGGTCCACTTAAGTAGTTTACTGCTTGGTGGGGAAACAGTTTACTTGGGACTCCTCAGACTGATGAAGCCCTCTGGATAGAGGGCGAAACGTCGCTACTAAAAAGAAACTGTCCAGATGACCCGACTGAGCATTATCGGAGTTGATTTTAACTCGTCTGTATTCTATATTGTTAATCATTTAGTTCTTATCTGTACCTCTGTGTGATCTACACTTTGGTTGGCCTTGTTGCTGTTTTTAAGTGCTTTATAAATAAAGTGGTATGGTATGGTATTTTTATTGCATTCAAGCAAACAGCTGCTAATGCCACTAAAAACAATTGTATTCATGAGTATGACCGGATAATTGAGTTGCAAGCTGACAAATACTGAAATAAAAAGATTATTTCTACTAAGTGCAACCAGATGTTTAGGATTTTGGAGCTGGGGTTGATCAGGACTCTCAAAGAACTACTCAGAGTAAAGATAAAATGTTCATTTCTCACAGAATCCCACCTCCAAAAATCTGAACTATGACTTTAAGGACAAGAGATTTATCTCCAAAATACAATGATTTAAAAAAAAAAACCCTACTTTTTGAGACTTGAAGTCTCAGCTTCCACACATCCCCTCCTACACACTCTGAGGTTTGACCAAGAGGGCTGTTCCAACATTTGGAGGGGTGGGGTCTGCGTGGTGGAACAGCCAAGTTGAGGATAAAACGTGGATAAGTGATGCTTCGGCTGCTTCAGCACAAAACCTCCTGAAAGAAGAGAGAGCAGCTCTCGTTTGAAGGTCCACACAGGCATCCGGCTGAACTCTGCAACTTCTTCCTAAAGACTTATCTCTGCAACATTACGCCCGTCAGAAGTGGACTGCACCTCAGTTCATTTAAGGTAAATCATTTTCAGACATTTTGCTCCTTATATCAGTTTGATCAGAAATGTTTGATGCATATCAAATGACAATGCAGGAGCTTTATTTTTACACTTTTTTCTTTTTAACTATAATGAATGCTGTGATTTGAGATGAGCTCCAACAAGATCAGTCCCTTTAAAAGGTTTTTCTGGCTCGATTTTTGCTTGTGTGCATGTCTGTTAGCCAAATATCTGATGAACCACTGCACACATTTTAACGAAAGTAACACAAAGTCATCACTTAATGAACATCTATAACTGAATGACTTTTGGAGTCAATCCAATTCAAGATGGCTGCCACAGCCAACTGATTTTAAAAACACATAAATGCCTATAACTCAGTCAATTTTACATATATTGAACAAATGTTTGGTGAAGTAGTCGCTGAGACTGATCCCCAACAGTTAATATGAGCACTAAAAGAGTGTGTAAAATATTTAGTTAAATTCTTGTCATTAACTATTTGGAGTTAAAACTGTCTGTTAGCGAAATATCTTGTGAACCAGTAAATGGATTTTAACAAAACGTTCAGTTCTTAATTCTTGGGTGTACCTTTACAAATAGTTAACGTTTGGAGTCGACTCAATTCAATATGGCCGACACAGCCAACTGACTTTAGAAAATACAAAACCAGTTATATTTCAGTCAGTTTTATGCATGCAGCACGGTGGCGCAACTGGTAGAGCTGCTGCCTCTCAGCGAGCAGGTCCCTGGTTCAAACCCCGGTCCAGGGGCCTTTCTGGGTGGAGTTTGCATGTTCTCTCCGTGCATGCGTGGGTTTTCTCCGGGTACTCCGGTTTCCTCCCACAGTCCAAAAACATGCATGTTAGGCTGATTGGTAACTCTAAATTGTCCCTAGGTGTGAGTGAGAGAGTAAATGTTTGTTTGTCTCGTTTGTCTCTATGTGGCCCTGTGATGGACTTGCGACCCATCCAGGGTGTACCCCGCCCCTCGCACAGTGATTGCTGGACATGGGCACCACCAAAGAAAATGGATGGATGGATGGAGTTTTATGCATAAGTTGCTAAAACTTAGTGTGATTGTAGCTGAGAGCATTCACAACGTATACTGTGAATGCTACTTATTGCAAAATACTTTTTTGCGTCAAACTTTAGCAATAAATCCTGTTTGTCTGTTAGCAATGTATATTATGTACCACTGAACAAACTTTATTTATACTTTTAGAACATAATCTTTAGATGTACATCTACAAACGATTAAAATTTGTAGTCAATCCACGGTAAGATGTCTGCCACAAAATGGTTTTAACAGGATCTGATTTAAACACAATGTGCTCAACTTTGACGTGGTGGTAGCTGTGTCACTCGCAACACGTACCCTGAGAGTTTTCTCCGGGAGCGCTCGGCCTCAGTTTGTTTTGTTTGGATGGCAGAGAGAAGTTATCAAAGCCTGCCAGTTCACCCTCAGTGAATCCAGTTAGTAGATCCATAACAGCCTCCACGAGTCTGCGAGCTAATGTTCAAGTTCAATATTGACAGAAGTGCGTCAGCAAATTTGATTCAGAACACTCACTTCCATCTTTTCAGTGAATCTGTTTCTCTTTGTGTCCAATCAGAAAAGCAGCCACTTCCTCCCCCTCATCCGTTCACTCACTGAGTCTGAGCCTCCCGCCACCTTTCTTCATCAGCATCACCAACGAGGATGAGGTCACACTGGCTGAGAGGAGCTGCCGTGCTGCTGCTGCTCCTCGCCGCCACGTCCGCGGTGATGCTTCCCAACTCCACGGGCTGGCAGCAGATCTTGGACAAGTATCTGGATGAGGACGGCGACTGGTGGGAGGCCAAGCAGAGGGGGAGGCGAGCCATCAAGGACAGCGACGCTCAACTCATCCTGGAGCTTCACAACAAGCTCCGAGGCGAGGTGTACCCCCCCGCCTCCAACATGGAGTACATGGTAGGTGGGTGAAGGTCACGGAGTGTGCATCTACCTGGTACTGGTCTTCTTTGGTTCAAACATACCCCCCACACACACACACACACACACACACACATACTGTATGACCTTGCACCCTTATGTTGTTTTGCCAGAGCAGAAAGAATTTGACCAACCTGCCAATGATCACATTTCTTCAGTCTCTCTCTCGGCTCACACTTTGAGATTTGTTTGACTTTATCCTTTGGCCATCACGCCAGATCGCTTTTCACAGAGCAATTAGAATCAGGCGCTGGGCCTTGTTTTACCAGCTGTCCAACCCCCCGCTAAACACACTCACACACGTACGAACTTTGCCAAATGGACTACATGTGTAAGCCCAGCTCGACTGTGAAACAGTAAAAAAATAATAATAAATCAAATCTTTGTGCAGCACCTTTCCATGCTCACTTAAAGAGCAACAGAACAAAAGGCTGTATTATCCTCCAGTGGAGGCAAATAAACATTTCCTTCTGGGGGGGGGGGGGGGGGGCAGCTGGACTGTGCAATTGTGTAATTGTGAGGTTGAGCTTGACTAGCTCTTGTTAAAATTGGACATGAGCTTCTGGTTTCTGCGTTTACAGAAAAACTGCTGAGCTAAGCAGATCTTTCCAACTGAACCCTGTTACAGTGGGTTTTATTTTGTAGCTGCAAGGGGCACATAAGGGTTAAACATGTGCAACAAGAAGATGTGAAGTAAAAGAAAGCGAGAGCATGTCAAATGTTTCATGGAAGAAAAAGAGAAACAGCAATGAAGGGAGAAATGGCAAAAAAAATATAGGGTGCCATTTGTAAAGTTACACAGTCAAAAATTAACAGCGATATTTTGGTTTATTTAACCTTTAATAAGAAAAAATATGTTTTTTTTTCAAAGTCATATTTTCACCATGTTATTCATACATTTATAAACGTCATCATTCCAAACTAAATATTTAAATTACAAGCTAAATATTTAGTTTACGAACTAAATACTTAACTTGCAATTTAGTGAATAAACTAAATATTTAGGTGTACATTAAATATTTAATTTCCAAAACTAAATATTTAATTTCCAAACTAAACATTTAATTTCGAAGCAAAATATTTAATTCCTAAATCCATCCATCCATCCATCCATCCATTATCTTTTACCCGCTTAGTCTATTTTGGGTCACAGGGGTCGCCGGTGCCCATGTCCAGCAATCACTGTGCGAGGGGCAGGGTACACCCTGGACAGGTCGGAAGTCCATCAGAGGGACACATAGAGACAAATGAGACAAACAACCATTCACTCTCTTCACTCACACCTAGGGACAATTTAGAGTTAACAATCAGCCTAACATGCATGTTTTTAGTCTGTGGGAGAAAACCGGAGTACCCAGAGAAAACCCACACATGCACGAAGAGAACATGCAAACTCCACCCAGAAAGGCCCCCGGACCGGGATTTGAACCAGGGACCTGCTCGCTGAGAGGCAGCAGCTCTACCATTTGTGCCACCGTGCTGCCCTAATTCCTAAATTAAATATTTAATTTGCTAACTAAACATTTAACTTGTAAGTTAAATGCTTAGGTGAGAGTTAAATATTTAGTTAGAAAATTAAATATTTATTTTGGAAATTAAATGTTTAGCTTAGAAATTAAATGTTTAGTATGGAAATTGAATATTTAGCTTGGACAATAAATATTCAGCTTGGAAATTAAATATTTAATATACACATAAATATTTAGTTTACTAACTAAATATTTAACTTGCAAGTTAAATATTTATTTTGTAAACTAAATATTTAGCTTGTAAATTAAATATTTAGTTTGGAACTATGACATTTGTCAATGTATGAATGACATGGTGAAAATATGACTTTGAGAAAAAAACCTATATATTTTTTCTTTTTAAAGGCTAATAAACCAAAGTATTGCTGTTAATTTTTCACTGTGTAACTTTACAAATGACACCCCATAAAAACATATTAAATAAAAGATTTGGAACAAGAGTAAAGATAGGAAACCAGAAAAAAGGGACATCTTCATTTGCAATTCTGTATGTGTTGAAATTCAAAACTCAAGCTACTTTCCAGTGCCTGCTCTTGCCTTTTATTTTGAAAGGGCTTCTATATTTTGCAGCTTTTTCCTTCTGCCTGCATTGAAAAGACGTCGCCTTTCAGAAACCTCACAGCTTCAGTCTGCTGGAAGACTTCACAGGCTTGCTTGCCTGCGCTCCAGATGTACACCCGTGCATGCAGACGTGCTCACACAAGCCCGTGCACAAGTGCTCGCCCATCAGCTCCCATTGTTGTAAGCCTTTGTATTAAACCACGACCTCAGTGACCCTCTAAGGCAGAGAGACTCAGAGATACCATCGATTCAAATCCCCCCCTTCTTTTCCCTCTTCATCTGCTTCCTTTTTTTGCCCTCTCACTGTGCCTCCCTCTTCCTTAAACCTGTGGCCCTGTTCCCGTTCTGTCATTACCCAAAAACAACAAGAAAACCCTGAATGAGCATCAGCACTCTGCAGCCAGCCAGTACAAGGACAAGCGGCTCTGCCTCCTGCCTGTGGGAGCCACAGCTACAAACAGAGCAGTGTCAGCATTTGAAGGCCTGCAAGACAAACAGATGGCATCTTGGGAGAAAAGGCCCCACCTTCCTAAATGTTTAACTTGGCTTCGCTGGGCTGCGCTCAGGACTGAGGTGGCGGTGATGTTAGTGATTTATGAGAGAGCTCTGTTGGTGTTTTTTTCTGTCCTGGGTGAATCAGAGCTACACTGCAAGCTTTGTGCACTTTCGTTTATTCTTAGATAGTTCTGTCTCGAAAGACTCTCCAAGTCCTTTGAGACAATAATTACATGAAAATACATCTAAGATGTTTGACTGTGAGATCATGGATCTGTAATACTGTAGTTATTGCATCACTTACTAAAATAATTAAAAAAAGATGTTGCAGCTGTCAGATTTAGTGTTTAGGGTTTCTGGTTTTTGATGAGCTGGTTTTGTCTAGAAAATCTCCACTGGAGGGTGCCACAGGACATTCAAAACCAGTGCCGATAGCACCGCCACTGGCTTCAAAGCTGAATCCGATGGATTCTTTGATTCTAAGTAGCACATCATCATACAGCTTTATTTTTCAGTCAACCTTTATTTATATAGGTTGGTCTCCTTGAGCCATTACATGAGAGATCTGTTTTAAACAAAGAACACAGATGAGGTCCAGACAACGATACACAATCATACAAAAAGCATATAAAATGAAAAAGTAAATAGAAGAAGTGACATAAAAACGAAAGAAATAAACAGTTACGTTATAAAGCGGCATAAAATACTAACGGGAACATGTCTGCATTGGTTTTTGCCATGAACTGAAAAATGAAACAATTGGGGAAGAATGTAGCAGTTAGGTATTTAGCATTCAGAGTTAGATGGGATCTAGTTCTAAAAAAGAAACCCAGTTTTATGTTCAGTTTCTTTACCAAGTTGTCGACGAGGCTTAAGAGATGTGAATCGACCAAAATACCAAAGTATTTATAAGAATCCAAACACTCAATAGGGACACCATTCAAAGATAAAATAGAAAGAAGGACTGCTGGTACTGACTTCCTGTTTGAAAACAACATCTCTTTGGTTTTGTCAGCATTTAGCATAAGTTTGAGATGAAACAAATCTGACTAGATGATGTTGAATGCAGACTGTAAAAGATGGAAAACCTTAGAAACTGATTTAGCTCGACAATAAACAACTGTGTCGTCGGCATAGAAATGTAAGGATGCATCAGGAATGATCTGACCTACAATACTTATGTAGATTGTGAAGAGGGTGGGTCCTAACTTGAATTTGAACTTTTTTGAAGAGGGTGGATCCTAAAACTGAGCTTTGTGGTACACCATTGTTAACAGTTAGCTAGCTGGAAGAAGTACCGTTATGTCAAACACATTGTCTCAGATCTGAGAGATAATTAGAGAACCAGCCAGTAGTGTGATCTGAGAAACCAATTTCTGGGAGCTTACGACATAAGATGTCATGGTCCACAGGGTCAAAAGCTTTAGACAGGTCTAAAGAAAGTGCAGCACAATACAGTTTCAGTGGGATTGCTTCCTGGATTCTAACTGAGGTTCTTTGTCGAATCAGATGAACACACCTAGACGTTAAAAAAACTTGGAGTCAGCCTAATTAAAGCTAACTGCCTCAGCTAATCAACAGTAGCAAACACAAAAATATCTATAAATGAGTTAATTCTACAGATTTGGTGTTTTAGTTGCCAAGAGTCATCCCGAAAACACATTCGGAGCCCAAACCGATCTTGAGAGATCAATGTTTAAAGGTTTAGCTTGCAAGGCGGCAGAGGATGAGCAATCCTTTTGAGAATGTTGCTTTCATTTGAAATCTTTTTACAGTCATAGTCATCTGTGTTGCAGCGTTTCTTCATACATGCCTTTCTGAGGGAGTCGTGGACCTTTTGAAAAAGAGCATGCCTTGGAGTCTTTTTGACATTTAAACGGTGACTCAGTTTTCGGTGACGCGATGGACCAAGGAAAGGGGGTGGGAAAAATACTCGATCTGCTTTTTGCTGGTAATGCCTTTGGGATGCCAGGATTTGTTGCAAAGGGACGACTGACTGATCTGTTGGCCAGCAAACTAGACCACCTTCTGCCATTTAAAAAAAATCTGCATCAACTACACCCGACTGCACGATTCAAGTTCTGAGTGCAGAACAGTGCTGGTGAAGCTGAAACTGCATCCTTAAGTCATTGTGGTGTTACACATCAGAGGTGCTTTTTCAATCCATCCATCCATCCATCCATCCATCCATCCATCCATCCATCAATCCATCCATCCATTCATTATTTTTCGCTTATTCCAAAGTCGGGTGGCGGGGGCAGCAGCTTGAGCATCTTGCCATCTTTTTCCACAGCCACCTCTTCCAGCTCTTCTGCGAGGACTCCAAGGCATTCCCAGGCCAAATGAGAGGCATAGTCTCTCCAGCGTGTCTGGGATCTCCTTTGAGTCGTACATGCCTGGAGTACCTCCCTAGGGAGGTGCCCAAGAAGCATCCTTACCAGAGGCCCGAACCGCCTCAACTGGCTCCTCTCGATGTGGAGGAGCAGCGGTTCTAGTCCAAGTTTCTCTCAGATAGCTGAACTTCTCACCCTATCTCTAAGAGAGAGTCCAGCTAACCTGTGGATGAAACTCATTTCAACCACCTGTATCCAGGATCTCATTCTTTTGGTCACCAGCGTTCATAGCCATAGGTGAGGGTAGGAACGTAGACTGATTGATAAACAGAGAGCTTTGCCTTACAGCTCAGCTCTCTCTTCACCACAACAGACCGGCACAGAGTACACAATACTGCAGACACTGCACCAATCTGTTTGTCAATCTCACGCTCCATTCTTCCCTCACTCGTGAACAAAATCCTGAGATACTTAAACTCCTCCACTTGAGGCAGAACCTCACCCTCGACCCGAAGACAGCAATCCACCCTTTAAAGCTGACAGGAGTTTAGCTAGAACATTATGTAGCCCGTGGCTAAATCCCAAAATTATAGGCACTAAATGTTTCCCCCATCTTTCCAAAACTTAATAAATTGTATTGTATGACTGAATAATGAGTTTTATAGTTATGGTCCAAAAACAAACAAAGACAATGGCTTCATAAATCAGCTTTCTGCTGCCATGGATTAGTTAAGATCGTCATCATCTATAAAGAAAACCTCTAACTGGTTGAAATGTAACAGCAAGTCTGCGTCTGTTCAGTGTGTCATTTCTCTAAAGGAGATTTCCTTCGACTGAGTGCTGATTTATCCTCTGGACGTCATCATGAGTTGCAACAAACAGTTAATTTTGCTCAAAACTTTTCTCATTCCATTTGATTTCTGATTATTCAGCCCTTTTCAAACATCTGTGTAAATCCTCAGAAGTCGTCCTTCAGAGCATCCCTGTGCTCCTATAATAAATGAGGTTTTCTGCAGTTTCAGACAACCTCACAGCGATCAACTATTATTAATATAACCAACAGAAATCCTGTATCAGTCATACTTTTGATGCCTCAAAACATCGTCTCAATGTACTGGCATCATGATGATGTATGCAGTTTTGCAAATGCGTAGCTTCTCAACCAGACTTAACATTTTAAGGTTATAAGGGGGAAATTATGGTGTTTGATAGAAAGGAATGTTTGACTTTAGCTGATATTAGTTCGAGTGCCCTGCGTGAAAAATTGAATCACTGAGAGTAAAAGTAGGAGTACATCAGACAGATTAAAATACACACAGTCTGTTTTTCAATGTTCATTTTCAATTTACATCAGGTAATTTAACTAATTTGCATCCTCCCAGCCGTGTATTTATTTACCCCTTCTCCTGTGTGCCCCCACCCCTCTCCACATCTTTCTCCTACTTCTCAGTATGTCTGAGTACAACCCACTGATTATTAGCTGGAAACCTGTACTAGCAAAGGAAATACCCCATTCACCCCATGAATGCAACCAGATGAACAAAATAAATCCAGACCACAAATGAAGTGTTAAGCGAAACAAACAATGCCGTGTGCTCAGCGCTGAAAGACGTTAGCTGCAGAGGTGTTTTTCTTTACAGGTCCTGTAGAAGTGTGGTTGTAGTGGGTGGTGGGTGGGGTGGTTTGTGGTTACAAGGCCTCTCCTCCTGGGGTAACTGTGCAAACTGCAGCAGCGTGACACGCCGGCTGTACACTGTACAGATGCAGCAGCTGAAAAATTTGCGCCCCACCTGACCCTTTCATATAAACCCTTTTAGAGGTTGTTAGCTTGTAGATGCTGATTGTGTTTAACATTCCTTGCAACATACTTCCACACATCTACATGTCAAGTATTTATGATGCAAACTGTAAATTTGAAATTCCCATCTTCCATGCAGCTTTGGCTGCATGAAAGATGGAAGGTTTGTTCATTTCCTGGTACAATTTAACTAGAAAATATCTTAAATGCATTTAAAGTGCTAAAGTCGTTTCACTGACATTGCTGCATGATTATTTTTAGTACAGATCATATGACTTATTACAAATATGTCTGCTTACCACTGTAAAACAGATTTTTTTTTTCTGCATAAGGTAGCCTCAGTAAAAATAAAAAAAATCTCTTTTTGCAATTTCTTTATCAACTTCATGCGGATCCTATCGCCAGTAGGGTTTGTTCACTGTTGTACTCTGTAACCAGGCTAGCCTTTGTTAGCCATAGCAAGCAAATATCATGCATTCCTCTACATTTTATTCATTCAAACTCCAAAGCAACATAGCAGTACTGTGTGTGGGACTGATTTCATGAGATGCAAGCCATCATAAGAGCAAATATCTGGTGTATTTTTGTAGCTATTGCTATTTTACATGTGTGCAGCAGCCATGTTGGATTTTGTGGTAGGAGTTGGGGAGAAACCTCAGAACTTCAGACTTTCCAAGTAGGAATTTGGACTTAACAGTGTGTTTAGATTGATTTTATTTTCATATTGGAACTTGAAAATTGAGCTTTGCCCATTTAAAATATCACAGTTTCAGCACAGTTTGAGGGTGACAACAGCTGCTCAACAAAAGACCCATACAGTTAATCTGCTAATTGGTGTTTATCACATGGTGCTCTTTGGATTGATTTTATTTTTAGCCTGGAAACTGGTATTTGATGCCACGTTGCCATCTGTCAGCTCTGTGCCTTGGGTGGAGTCAAAGATACCCAGAAAGGGGTGCAGCAGTTTCAGGGCTGGTTATCATTATTGTGCTACAAAAAAGGATACAACACTGATAGGATAATGATGTTTAATTCAATTTAACAACTATTATGACTCCGTCAGTCATTGTAGGACCACAGAAAACTCCAGGCTGTCTTTGAAGGTGTGCAAGTGATTAGTTATGTAACATTTCTGCAGTACTTTATAAAATGCATTATCTGTATTGGAAAATCATACCATTCCTGTTGACTTAAACAAATCCATCCATTTTATACCCAACTGGACTCCAACAAGCAGCTGAATAAACTGACTGCAGTTAGGAGAGTTGATTCAGAGTATCTCTAGAGATACGGTTTGGAAGCTCGGTGCATGTTTCTGAGATCACTTGCTACTTATTACAGTGAACAGTAAAGGAGAAGGTGATGGTGGAAGTGCAGAAATATGTTTCAGTGACTGCTACAGGATGAGATTTCACTGAGAACGAGCTTAAAACCAGAGCTCGGTGTGTGAAAGGAAGAAACTTTTGACACCTTTTACTGTTATGTTACCACAGCGCACTAATTGATTTTCCATCAGATGGGTCATCTAGCACTAAAAATGAATGAAAAGGTGTCCAAATACTGGAACGCAATGTTCTTCTGTGGAATTACAGCTGTGTTATTCTAACATTTTGTAAAGAAGAACCCACTGCATCCCTACACCCCACCCCATTAATTTATAAGAGTCTTTAGGATATCCAACTGGATTTATGAGTCAGAGAGACCAGTGAAGTGAAAGAAAAGCATTCTTCTTGTCAGACATTTGGAAAGTATGAATGCATTTTTTTAATGTACCTACAATTTGAGGGACAAAACCATTAAGAAAAGGTTATCTGACTTAAAATAATTAAACCCTCTACAATGACGGCAGTTAGTTGAGGAGTAAGATGACCGGAGATAGTTCCACACTTATATATTTGATACTGTTCTATATCACCACACACCAGCATCTTTCTAATTAAGGTAGGTTCATTTAGTAGCTAAGTGACTGAATGGTGTTTTGTCTCTTATCCAGTATAAGCCACAAAGCTAAAGTTGTTTGTCTTCATGTGGACAGGTGTGGGACACAGAGTTGGAGCGTACAGCAGAGGAGTGGGCAGAGACCTGTTTGTGGGAGCATGGTCCGGCTGGTTTACTCCCACAGATTGGGCAGAACCTGGGCGCACACTGGGGAAGGTAAGCATTTTGACTGTACTCAGTTTTTCAAGTGGACTTGACTTAAGTGATCTTATTGAACACTGAAATTAATAAATAAGCTATTTGACTTTTTATGACTAAATGATATCATTTCTCTAACAGTCTAGCATGCTAACAGGCTAATTGGTAACTCTAAATTGTCTCTAGGTGTGAATGAGAATGGTTGTTTGTCTCGTTTGTCTCCATGTGGCCCTGTGATGGACATGCAACCTGTCCACGGCCTCTTGCACAGTGACTGCTGGATATGGACACCAGTGACCCCCATGACATAGAAAGGAAGAAGTGTGTAGATATAGGATGGACTTGACTGAATGGAACTAAACAGATTATTAAGAAAGTTCCTTGACAGAAAAAAAATATCTTGCAAAAAGTTTGAAAGACTGTGTTGTAGCTTACAGGAAGCAGAGAACAGCTTACAACACCCACACGAACAGAAAATAAATGCTGTTTGAAACACTCTTTGTTTATTGATGCTATCAGATATCGTCCACCCACATCCCACGTGCAGGCCTGGTACGATGAGGTGAAGGATTACTCCTTCCCTTACCCCCAGGAGTGTAATCCCTACTGTCCGTTCAGGTGCTCCGGACCAGTTTGTACGCATTACACACAGGTAAATGCACGGCGACTCGCCTTTTCAAGCAAGCCTTGACTGATTTAAAGTACGCTTGTGTAAGTAAATTGTGTTTTTGTCATTCTTTTACAGCTGGTTTGGGCCACCAGCAGCCGTATTGGCTGTGCCGTCAACTTGTGCTACAACATGAATGTATGGGGGCAGATTTGGACCAAAGCTGTGTACCTTGTTTGCAACTATTCACCAAAGTAAGCGAACATGAAGAGTACCAGTGACGTAAAACAAAAACGAACAGATTCAAGAACATTTTTTTCCCCAAGGCCATAACCATTCTAAACTCACAGCTAACTTCACAGCCTAACCTTGAACTTCCTATTACCCACCTACTGTGCATTGTTTAATATGTTTAAATATCTTATAACTTAATTTATTGACAGTATTGCACAATGCCATAACTGAGCAATATCTGCAGTGTGACATACCCAGTTTGTGTCGAGTAAACCTGGCTTATTCTTTTACCTGAACAGGGGGAACTGGTGGGGTCATGCACCTTACAAACATGGGACCTCTTGCTCTGCTTGTCCTCCGAGCTATGGAGGAGGGTGCAAGGACAATCTTTGCTACAAAGGTAAGCTAAAGTGATACACACCAAGAAAGAAATTTCAGAAAAGTGCGCTCATCATTCTTGCTTTTGTATCTTTAGTTGAAGATGACAGGTTCAATCACCTGCAAGAGGAAACGGAAGAAAACAACTTTATTGAGCCAGAGGCCCCTCGTGGCACAAACCCCTGGTCCCGGGCCTCCAAGCCTGAGTCTCCTAGCCTCCCTACCCCAGCCCCCACCAAGCCCCCAACACAGGACCTGCAGAACGAAGTGGTCAACACACAGCAGATGTGTAAGCTGCCATTTAACTGTTTGTTCTGGATCTAATTTCATCCAAACTGGGGGGGGTTCAGAATTTGGTTTTTAGATGTGGGGCTGCCAGAGAGCAGAAGTGCAGTACAATATGTACCATATAGAAAAACCTGCCTGAAAACTGGGTCAGAACCAAATAAATCAAAACAGTTACTGTTAAGGAAGCAACTCCATAAAAAATACCTTAAAATATGACAGAACTGTATTTTTTTTTCCAATTTATCTTAAATTGCCTCGCTGCTCTGTAGCTTCTATTTGTCATTCTGCTGATCAGTACTGACAGTTGTTAACTTTTTATGAATTTGCAAGTCATTCTTTATGGAGAGGGTGGGGAACTTTATTTTAGCATGATCCCCTTGAGTGTGTGTGTTGGTTTATGGCTGGCTGAAGAGTGTTGAGGGTGGTGAGAGGCGCTCGCTGTAATTTTTAAATGGCTTCCTCTCGGCTCTATAAGAAGCCTGTGAGTAAGATGAGTCATTTACTTCAGCATCTGCTGACCACCCTGAACCTTGCTGAATTTTTTCATTTTATTTTTTGTCTTGGGTCCTGGAACTGTTGTTACGATGTCTCCCCAAGGTTTTGCTCAGTCAGATTTTCTGCATCCAAGTTGCTGGCTTGTACATTATATGCTGTTTCCTGTAGGACAGAGACAATCTGTGTTTGTGTGTTTCAGCTCAGCTTGTGACCTGCGACACTAAGCTACGAGATAAGTGTAAAGGAACGACTTGTAATAGGTACAATGAAGATGAAACATTGAAAATCATCACAATGAAAAATATACGGTCTGTTTAAAGACAACTGTTTTTGAATTGATTAAACAGGTACGAGTGTCCAGCTGGATGTCTGGATGCAACAGAAAAAGTAGTTGGAACAGTATACTATGAAATGGTAGGTAAACAAGTAACCAGAATTATGTGTTTTTCCCATAAATAATGCTCAGATCACAGTATTCATGACAAACAAGATGGTCTCCATCCTGTTGTTTGGGGGATGAATCTTCAAGTATCTAGGAGTCTTGATCATGGATGATGTTGGAGCCGGTTTATGCATGTTATAACCCACACATGTGGTTAGGACATCCCAGGTACAAGAAGCTGATATGAGCTTGGAGTAGGACCGCTGCTTCTATGTATTGAAAGGATCCAGCTGGGGTGGTTTGGTTTAGGATGTCTCCTGGGTACTTTCATCTTGAGGTTTCCCAGTCATATCTCACTGAGAGAATACCCTGAGGCAGACCCAGACTTAAAGGATATACTTATATCATCTTTGGTATGGGAACACCTTGGGATCCCAAAGATAAATTATAGTGCATCTCTTGGGAAAGGGATATCTAGGTTTGCATCAAGTAAAAAATAAAATAAATAGATGACTGGAAGGTTGTCATAAAAGCTACAGTATTTATGGAAAACAATACTGCAAGCGAACATTGGTGTCTATTGAGTGATCAGAAAGAATTTGTGCTGTGAGGTCAAGAGTTTAAATGATGGATAAGACACCAGCTGTTATTACTTTGCTCACATGTCCACAGCAAAATAATAAAAAAAACAATTTTATAAACCCTAATTAGAACAATGAATGGTCCAGATCAAACATTTGCTTTGCAGGGTGTGGAAATTAGTCATATCAGTGGTATACGATGTGAATAAGTATTGGAATGTGCAAATAAAACAAAACAAGCTACAACCAAAGGGAACCTGGGGAAAAGGGCAGAGAGCGATCATATTAAAGTCAGAAATAAACCTAAGGGATTTTTTTGCAAGATGTGCCGCCTTACACTATTAAACCAATTATAGAACAAAGACGGGTCAATTCGTACCCAACTACAAGAGGACCTGCAAGAGTCGTGACAGTATTCCCTTTTCCATAGATGCTGGTTGACAGTTTATAACGACATTTTAAACCTTGACAAGTTCTGCAACGAAATGGAGAAAGTTGCAGCTATACAGTGGGATCTTAAAAAAAAGTTAGCCACTGGACGCACAGACTAGTTTGTATGTGGGACATTATGAGGCATACTTTAAAGCTGCCATATTGTGCTGAATTTCTATCAAACTTTGATCTGTCTTTTCAGTAATTTAATGCTAAAACTCATGAGTTCCTAGAATGCCACAATGAGCATAATTTAGTACAATCCGGCAGCATCCAGTATTGTGAGAAGCGCAGCTACGTGTCAGACTGAAAAAAAACAAAAAAAAACCTGAAGTGCTAACTTTTTAGCTGCTGTGTCAGCAAAATGTACACGGTGTCAAAGAAATGTCCTGTTTTTGCAGCAATCAAGTGTGTGCAGAGCTGGTCTACATGCTGGTGTCATAAATAATGATGGAGGGTGGCTGGATGTGACAAGACAAGGCAGAAAAGACTTTTTCATCAGATCCAACAAGAACGGAGTTGAGTCACTTGGGTACGACAGTAACAATAACAATGATGTGATAAATATATTTTAGTGCCGGTAGTCATTAGGATAGAAAGTGAGAAAAAAACAGAATAAAATTTGATGTTTTCATTTCCACTCGACAGAAAATACAAAAGTGCCAACTCCTTTATGGTTTCCAGAGTAGCAGGTTAGTTTGACAATATGGCGCTCATTAAAAATTACATTTCCTACACAATAATGCTTTTTAAGCTGCTTTATGGATATTTTTCTTACAGTTCAAGTCATCACATGTGAAATCACAGTTTTACAATTGTGTCCATATGAAAAGCCTACAAGACATTGTCCAAGGTGAGAACTTTGATGCACTTACTGTTTGCAGTTTATTTATCAGTCTATCTCCAACCTGTCTCAACTGAGGTTGTTAAATTGTCTTTTTAGGTTGTACTGCCCAAGTTATTGTTTAGAAGAGAACCCTCACTTTTCCAGAGTCTTTGGTACCAGAATATACTCTGATGTAAGTTTCTGTTTTTTTAGCTGGACTCATGAATACACATTTTCACAAATACGTTTTTGAAAAAAAAACAAGTTTCTTCTCTCCAACATCTACGCCTGTAGAAGTCCAGCATCTGTCGAGCAGCTGTCCATGCTGGAGTCATCAACAACAGCGTGGGTGGTTACATAGATGTGATGCCAGTGGATAAACGAAGACACTACTTTGGCTCATATCAAAATGGCGTCTCCTCAGAGAGGTATGGCAGATCTGCAAGTTAGAATTGGATAGCGTCTGTATGCCTGTGCTTTGTAAGAAAAAAAAAATACTTACACTATATGTTTAGTTATAATTACCAAGAAAGTTTGTGGGGACCTGGGGTGCTGACGGCGCTAAAGCACACCTTTGTAGATGATAAGATATAAAATATGTGGATAAAGGATAGATGAAATTGATTAAATCAGTGAGTAAATAAACAAAAATACAACATTTTACCACTAACATCAGGGCTTAATTTGAGTCGGATCCTGCCGGAACAGGATCAGGGAACTCTTACTTTGACAGGGTGCGTCCTGGTAACTGTTTGGATTCGGGAACTCTCTCAGGCTTACTAATAATAAAGTTATGAACAAATGTGACTGTCTTGAACAAATAAAACCCATATTGGACATGTAATCTGAAAATAATTACATAAACAGATATTTTAAACACAACAGCCACTTACCAGCTTCCTAATATCACATAAGCGCTGCCCCTTCAAGTAAGCATTTCCACTTCTACCCTTAAAAATAATCTCCGCCCCTAAAAGTACAGTCATGGGCAAATTCATTAAAAATTCAAAAATATAATTAAGCAGTCCGACTAATTTGCTGATCAGTTATACAGTTTAAATGGGTCATTAATACTTTTTTTTATTATTTATTAAAAATACGAGAGAAATGTTTAATGTTACGTACATCACGTATCAAAACAACGGCTCCAGTTTGTCAAAATATCAGTGATCAAAATGTCGAAAAGACAGTCCAATTTACTTTAATTTTTTTTTAAAAACAAGTCTTCTCATTGTATAACTAAACAACAGAATCGAAGCACATGAAGGCAGTAGCAATGTAGCTAGTACTCGATGTAAGGGGTGGGCTGCGGGGTTGTTAGGATGCTTGAGAGAAGCTGAGTGTAAAAGTAGATGTTTAACAACCCCTTAAAATTCACCAAAATGCAGGAAATGGCATCTACTTTATTCAAAATTTTCTGGGGGAGGAACCCCAGACCCCGCCCCACTCCCCGCTATTTGCGTTCCAGCATCATTTGGTTTACAAATTAAGCACTGACTAACATTATAGAAGTTTCTAATCCAATTGTTTTATTCAGCTGCTCCCTTCTGCAGGGGATGCTACGGCAAGCAAACTCCCACAAAAAAAGGCAATTGTTTTACTTTCAGATGCAACCTGTGCTCAAACCTGTAGCCTCACCACTGCGAGACCGCAACACTGACCACAGAGCTACTGGAGCCCATTCATTTTTAAATTCTTTTTTTTTTTTAAGAAAGACATTTATTTGGGGAAAAAAATCCTGTTTGGTTCCATCCCTGCTAGTAGCTTTTCCTACTTTACACATTCTCACAGTACACCTAATGTCCCCACTACTAAAGTATATGAGTATATATAAGATATAAGACTATAAAACTATCTAAGAGTTCATATTGTTTCTGTTCTCTCCTTGTTCAAGTATTGCAGTAGAGGAAAGAAATCCATTTTTTCAGGTTTGAGAGATTTATTTTCCATCCATCTTTTCGTAAAATAGACAGTTCATTTCATCTCCTTTGCAGTGTGCCTCAGAGGGTGATTAGCATGCCTCTAGTTAAAAATAATTCCTTTCCAATTAGTGTTGAGAAAAGTGTATCTTTATGTAGTTCTGGGAATAGTTTGTCTTTTTCAATCACCAAGATATTACAGAGAGAAGGAGGCAGCAGTGGTTTCAACAAATATTCTACAACCTGAAAATGGGTTTGGAAATAGAGCACTTCATCATCAGCATACATGAACAGTCTCGATGTATGAAACAGTTATTTCCTTATTAAAAGCAGAAGGATCAGGAGTAAATTTGTCTCTCTGGTGCCATGTGCTAAAATAAATGTATTTTGTGATTACATTATTCAGAATGAAGAAGATTAGATTAACAGGTTAAATCTTTGACATGGGAAAATTTTGGATCACACATACCTACCAGAATATCGTTAACATTAAAGGTGGTCTACAAACTGTGCTTCAGATTTTAAGTCATTTTACTTTACATCCAACAATTTTCAGTCAGGTCATCTGGACATTTTCTTTTTTTTGTGCTGAAACGTTTCACCTTCCATCCAGAAGGCTTCATCAGTCAAGGAAACACACAACACAAAACTGATTCTTCCCCCAACAGCTGACTCCAAAGTGGAACAAGCCAGTTATGTTGGTGCTAAGATGGTCTCTTTGGCACGCCCCGTCATCCGGTGCTGGCCCTCTTCCTTGTCGACAGTCATGTCAAACTGGTTCAAAACCAACAAGGTCCATGCTCAATAATCCAGGCATACAATCCAACAATTTTCAGTCAGGTCATCTGGACAGTTTCTTTTTTTTGTGTGCTGATCCTCCCTGAGGAGGGGGCGTGCCAAAGAGACCATCTTAGTACCAACATAACTGGTTTGTTCCACTTTGGAGTAAGCTGTTGGGGTAAGAATCAATTTTGTGTTGTGTGTTTCCTTGACTGATGAAGCCTTCTGGATGGAAGGCGAAAAGTTTCAGCACAAAAAAAAAGAAACAGTCCAGATGACCTGACTGAAAATTGTTGGATCGTATGCAAGGATTATTGAGCATGGACTTTGTTGATTTTACATTACACCTACTTTAGGATCTGATCTATTTTTATTCAGAAAAATGTCAGATGGAGACTCAGAGTTCTTTTCATAGTATTCATGTACTCTGATCTCTCATCTGTCTTCATTTCATTTTGACATTTTGCTGAGATGATTCATAATCTCCCATCATGTATGTCTCGTTTCACTTCACAACAAGTCGTTCTTTGTTGAATTAACTGTTGTGGAAAAAAGGAGATTCCCAAACAGACCAAGGTGTAGTTCATCAGATTTATTTTCAAAGCTTTGGAGAGCAGTCCAAACATTCACAGAACATGCAATTGCACGATTTCACACTTATCAGTCGTCTCATTCATTTGAAACCCTGACCTCCTATAACTTCCTGAATGGACAAGTTAGTTTTATAGAATAAGCTCCAGCCGAGCCTTCAGCCCCTGCCCCCAAGTTTGAGCCATCATCCAAAGGTCCAAACAGACAAGAAGGAATGGATCTGAGTCAAGGACTCTGTTTGAAGACACGTCAACATATATCAACTCTATCATAACAATATCATATCAATCAACCCTTGAGGATATCAAAACAATCAGTTCTTTCTGTTCGTCACTGACTGGTCACAGTAAGAGTGATTATATGAGATCATTAATATCACACATCACAAGCATGAGTAGTAGAAGGACATTGCAGAACATCCCCAAAGGAGAGTTATTGATAATGAGTGCAAATAATTCACATTACACTGACTTTAACACACACATTTTCTTGTGTTTATGTTAAATTGTGTGGTTTATCTGTTTTTTCAGGGTTTCACCTTTTTTTCAGCCTATTTCTTTAATGTCTTCAAACTTTCCGATTTGTACAGTACCCTCTGTTTGTGTGTCCATCATCAGTGTTGGTTAACAAAAGGAGGGACATGTTTTGGACTTTGATTGGCTCTTATACTTGCCTCTGTTTTCCTTGCAGCCTTCAGAACCCTCCTGGAGGGAAGGCGTTTCGGGTCTTCGCTGTGATTTGAGCATCTCCGTTTGGCCAGTTTGACCAAACATAAAGTGCACTTGAAGCCTTTGAAAGGACAGTGATTAAGCAAAGATGTCAAAATCAATGACTGAAATCATTCAGCCTCTGGGGTTAGAGGTCGTCACCATGACAGCACTGGGCAAAGAAAAAAACAAACTTTAAAAGACTTCCTTTCTCACCCTCAGATTTGTTTTTTATGCAGTTTTTAACATTGGGATATTCACAAACTGTAAATATAGCTGGATATTTCAGTTTACAAATGTTTTTTAATAGTGTGGTTCTTTTGCGTGCCATTATCTTGCCAAATTTCTTTATGTAAATACTGATTATAAAACTTCTACATTTTCTTGGCACATAAAAAGACATATTGTTTATTTTTTTAAAGTTTGGAACATTTTTGTTGATGCTTTGATGCAGTTGTTGCAATATTTTTGTACTTTTTAAATCTGTGGGGGAAAATATTGAGCATTTATTTTTATATGTTTTATGCTATTGAAATACATGCTGCTAAATGTTTTATGTATTTTGTTCATTCTTTCATCTCATTTTATTTCTGTATTTTTTTTTCCTTTTTATTTGTATGTTCTACCCCTATTATTGAAGTTGAACTTAATTACCTGCAGGACAGGAAGTACAGTCATCCCACAGTCATCATTCTATGAATAAAACCATCTTCATAAAATTTTACAGGATGCCACTACTCTTAAAAGGTTTCAGATTAAAATTTCACATACGTTGAAGTGGGATTTTGTGGAGAATGTTATGAACAAATACTGTCTTGCCTGTTGTAGATAGCTTTTTGATAGACCACAGTTTGGCAAAATATACATAGACTAACAGCTAGTCCAAGTGTGGACAAGACCAAAGTGAACTGCTGGAATTCCACTCCCCCAAATTAACACTTTTTTTTGGCAAATCTTTACAAATTAAAAACTTTTATATCACCATAATTTTCACAATAAATTCCAAAAATATGGCTAACTATAGTGAAGTCTGATGCAAACAGCAGCATTCCACTTTGGTCTTCACTCTCAAACTAGCTGTTACCTTCTCAGTTTGGTCAGAATTAAACGCTTTCTCCAAACTGAGAGTGTTCAAAGACCTTTCTACAACAGGTAAGATATTGATTGTTCATATTCTTACCATATCACCCTGTTAAAAATCTGAACTTTTTTTAAGACCATATCTATTTAATTAATTTTGTCATTAAGTAAAGGAATCAGTAACATTCAACAGTGTTCTTTAATACACTTCGTACACATTGCTTCCAGTTTTATGAGCTAGCAGCTAAATGTAAAGTTATAAACAGCTAAAATCAGTTGCGGAGCCAGAGGGGTGGCCAGGGTGTGAAGTGCCAGCCCTGGCACCTGACTAGCCACCCCAGGTGCCACCCTCAAATGATTGATAAGTGGGGTGGGGATCGCATGTAATATTAAAAGTTGGGCATCCATCCATCCATTCAACCATTTATCCATCTATCCATCCATTTTCTTCCGCTTATCCGGGGTCGGGTCATGGGGGTAGCAGCCTAAGTAGGGAGGCCCAGACTTCCCTCTCTGCAGCCACTTGGTCCAGCTCCTCCAGGGGAATCCCGAGGCGTTCCCAGGCCAGCCGAGAAACATAGTCCCTCCAGCGTGTCCTGGGTCTTCCCCTGGATCTGGGTCTCCTCCCTGTGGGGCGTGTCTGGAACACCTCACCAGAGAGGTGTCCAGGAGGCATCCTAACCAGATGCCCGAGCCACCTCAACTGGCTCCTCTCGACGTGGAGAAGCAGCTGCTCTACTCTGAGTCCCTCCCAGATGACCGAGCTTCTCACCCTATCTCTAAGGGAGAGCCCAGACACCCTGCGGAGAAAACTTATTTTGGCCGCTTTATTTGCATGTAGCTACTAAACTTTACTTATTAGTTCTGCAGAACAGCAGCAGCTCTCTTTCCGGTTTGGCTCTGTTCTATTCTGACTCGGTTCATTTCTGCAGACAACCCTGCAGCGATGAAGCCCACACATCAGTCCTGTAAACTCTTAAACCTACTAATTTTAACAACTTATATACTAGATTTTACTTACCAGGCTCTGCAGAACAAGAGTGGCTCGGCTCTGGTCCTACCTGAGGGATGAAAAAAGGCCCGGTGCTGCATGACGAAGTCCACCGCTCCATCCAGGTTAATGAGTGCATGCTGCTGCTCCATGCAGGAGCGAAGCTGGCCAGGATTTAGTTTACCACCTCTGGACTGGTCTGGACCAGCACTGTGCGACCAGAACCAGGCTGAACCCTGCAGCTGTTTGTCATCTGCAGCTCCCAAGATCTGGGTCACACTGAGTCCAGATCAACTTCAGCCCAAATTCTGAGCAGTGAAGATACAACTTGAAGGAGGAGTTCAGCTTCAGAATTATTTTTGACTTCCCTGCCAGCCCTGTGAGCTTATCCTTACAGAACTTCTGACTTTGCTGCAAAACTTTCCCTCCATTTGCAGAAAGCAGCAATGGGAATCAGTGTTGACTTCTGGGAAGTGAACTGATGGCTTCTGGGTAACGTAGTTCTTTAAACTGGCGAAACCGTGTAGGCTTAATGAAAGAAAACTACAAAATGGAGGCACATTTTTACAATTTTTATTATTTTTTTCTTCAATATTTTGTACAGTACTGTACGTCCATAAACCATGATAGAGCGAGTCAGTGAAAGTCGAACCATGAAGTAGCGAGGGACTACTATAGGCTACCAATTTTTAGTTCTGCATGTCTTCAAATTGCTGAATTATAGCCATTTGTAAAATTAGCATTAACAGTTAATGTGACAGTTAAGTGAACTTGAGATTAGCTTTTAGAATGTCACAGCAGTTGTTTATGGCTAGCACCATACCAAATTTCAGCTCAATATGTCTAAAAATGGCTGAGTTATGGCCAAAACCAGTGCAACGGTTCATGAAATATTTTGCTAACAGACATTTTTAGCAATTTGTCTTATTTTCATGAAGCTAAAAATGGAATAGAAGGGTCCTATAGCAACAATCATTTGTACTGGGCACCCTAAACAGCTGTTTTTGCACTTATTTGTCTCAGTTTGTGTAAACAGTGCTTATTTACAACTTTAATGCACTGAATGACTTCCTGTACCGTAGAATAGGCAGGCCCCCAATAATAAGAAAAAGAACGAACAGTAATGTCACAGTTATGTTTAACAAGATAATAAAGGCTCTATGTGTATCTTGCATTATATGTTTGAAGACATCAATAATTTACTTGTGTTATAATGTGAATGCACCATCATAAGATATTGTATGTAACACAAATCTAGTGCAAGATTGATTATTTCACACAGATTGATTGTTACTCCACCTTCATGTCTTTTACAACACTAGTCATGTATTGTTCCTTTTTTGTCTTAGAAAGATACACAAAAAAAACTGAGGAAAAAGGGAAATCATATTTGTGTGACAGTTATAAATATGACGATCAAACAAAATGCTGATGAAGTTGAATGAAGTATTTTGGGGCAGATAAATCTGTACAATTCTGACCAAAGTGGTGTTGCTATCAAGAGGTAGTTTGAATAAATACATTTACTACCCAGTAATCAAAAATTGACACATTGTGTTTTAGTTTTTTATGTACATATTTTTTGTAAAGATGCATATTTTATTACATTGTGAATATTTATGGTAAATAAAATCTCCACTTTGTTTCACACAAGGATCTCATGTGTGCTTAAATTTGCTAAAAAAACAACAACAT